GCCAATTGCATGTCGTGAGAAAGGCGTGATATTAACTACGCGATCTCTTCGGGCAGCCGGTGATCCACAGAAAATGGGTTGCTAGATTTTCTACTTAGATTGAACAAACTTTCGGTAGGAAAAAAAGGAAATCTGAATTTGACAGACTTTTCGAGCAAATGCTGTTTAAATGGAAGAAAACAGCACCACTTGCTATTTCTGAGAAAAGAACTCAGCCCTGATCAACCAATTTTCACTAATTCCAACACCTAACTTGCCCCTTTCCATTTCCAGTGCATTCGCCAGTGCTTCGAGTTAGTGCACTGCGACCTGTCCCTCGGGCATGACCGTAAGCTGGTTTAAAGGATTCATCATCTACAATTGAATGTGTTTGAGTTTCGGTCCTGCATTTTCAATGAAAATATTCTGTTAAGTGTATATATTACTGACAACATTTGAGTACCATGTTTATTTGAACTTACATATTGCATACACCGTTAACAATAGGGTTTTCAAAGGCATTGCCTATTACCCTTAAAATATACTGACCTAAACTGACCTATCACCATCAGCCCTAGGTAGGTAGGGGGGAGGGGGGAAGTCCCCATTCAGGCATGACTCACCTCGATAGGCACGGCACTAACGAAGACGGCCATAAACCAGTTAAGTGTCAGGGTAGACATGTCGATCTCCAGGTCCTGCAAGTGCCGGGAAAGGTCTGGACTGAAGTGCTGGATGAGTTCACGCATGACGTTCTGGTCGGCTTGTGCGGCTATGAGACCAGCGTTGAAGTAATTCGGCAAGAAGTGGTGTTCGACGAATAAGACAAGCAGCCTGGGGAAAAAAAGAAAATTTAATCAAACATATCCGTAGAGTTGTTTTTCACACAGGGTCGTTCATTGCGTTGTAGTCTACATCGGTCAACTGGAAAGTACACGGTTGAAGTAGTACTAGAAGGTGGTTACTAAAAGAGTCCTAGTGCTTTTTACGTTTTGGTACCAGGAGACAGGTATCAGCGACTCCTTCTTAAGCTACCTCTTATAGTAGGTCTCTTAGGCACACCTACTGGAGTTGTTAAATCGGGCTGATTTTAAAGCTAAAACATCTCGACTGAATTGAAAATCTTAGACGAGGAATGACGGCACCCGTTACCACCATAACCAATCTCAGCTCAACACGCCAACCCCTCTAACCGCCGGAAACCGGTAAGGGTATGTAGAGAAAGGGAGAGATTGCACGGCTGACGCTCAGTGAATTTTATCCACCCCGCCCCAAACAAAACGCGGGTGGGGGGAGATATTTTCAAATCGGCTTGGGGGGGAGTGAAATGTCCTACGTGCATTCTATATGAACAGCAGGCTCCAACACAAGAAAGACCTGCTCACACTCACGGCGCTGTTCTTGCGAGCATCCGTAGCAGAGAGTCGGCGCGTTTTTCAACGACAAATGTCGGCTTCCACAGCTCTTAAGGGACTGCACTGACGCTGCTCGCAGACTGCTCAACCATACTGACTGGGCTTCATGCGCTCGGGGTCAATGTCAATGAGTAACTCTTGTCAGCACTTGCTGCCAATCGCTTGTGCGCTAGCATTCATTGAGGGTTGCTTTCTCTCTCTTTTGTCCTGATTTATAATTTAGGTTAAATGTGGTTACGTAGCCCCAGTTGAAGTAAACAAACCCCAACTACCTGTGATACGGAACGGGTGGTAATAGGGGATTTTAGAGGTTGGACCAGGGAACGCACAGGCGACGAGGTCAAATGGTTGCATTCAAAAGATAAGCTGTTGGGAATGCGCGGTTGCACTTTGAGTGGTTGACAAATAGTTGCCCTAATCCCTAACCCTAACTCCTAACCCCTAACTCCAACCCCAACCGTTTTGTGTCCATCAGGTGGGGCTACATAACCACATCTTACCATAATTCAAGATCTAGAGATTTCCTTGTGACACCAGCATAGCAACCAGTGTTCGTGACATCGAATGTTTTGGCTGAAAGTCAAGATCGGTCTTACCAGAATGTAGTCTCCTTGTCGAGGAAAAGGGAGGCATTGCCAACGATGAAATTCATGCCTTGGCAATATCCGACCTCGGGGTTGTGAAGAGCGAAGGCTTGAAGCACTTCCTGCATTTGTTGAACCTTAATTTAAATAAACAGCATGCGTGCGGTCATCGACACACCAATCGGAAAAGGATGTCTTAAGAATCACTTTTTGTGCGTCACCTAGGCAGACCCTAAAATCTCTGACGGTAAACTTCAAATTATGAAAAAAGTGAATTTTCAACGCTCCGTGGTTTTATTCTGCAGAAGGGCAAAAAGAAAATTTGCACCATTGGATGCGCAGGATGGACGTGAAGGAATTTGGTACGGAAGTCTCACAGATCACAAAAATGTTTATCCTCGGTAATTCACGTACGCATGCCGTCCCCAGAATAAAACAAAGCGGATGCGTGATTGGGAGCTCCGGCGTTTTTAATCAAATTATCCACCCATTACTGCGCTAAGTGGTTAAACGGATGGTCAAGACGTCGTACGAGATGTTGACTCTGCAGTAGCAAAACGTTCACTAATTAAACTTACTCCCGAGGAAGGCAAGGCTGTATTTTAAAACTGGAACGTTAGCAGTCACTAGTAACAACAAGGTAAGGGAACTTTCATGGGCTGTTCAAGATCAGGAGGCCTTGCTAAATAAGTTATGCAGCGACGGTCGGAATTACATGCCTGTAAGTGACTTGAAAGAAAAATACGTCCTCAAAAAACTGGTGATGCCTTTGGGCGAGCTTTTCCGGCCTGACGCCTTCACCAGCCACTGACTGGCGTTTTCCATCAACACACGAAGAGGCCTCTACGTGTAGTCTGTCCCACTTTTATGGAGGTCATTATTCAAAAACGCGGAACACCATTCAAACGTCATTGCTGGATGACGTTCGCGGTGCCCGCGAGAAGGGTACCGGCAGAAGCAAGCCGAAGCACTGCCGTCATGATTTAACGCGCACTTTCCTAATCGGCGCAAGTCGTACTAGATTCCCAGTCATTTAAATATTTACGCTCACCCATGTAAACGTAAGTCATTATAAATGAGTTTTCTGAATTGTCATTGTGTTACCGTATACAGTTGCCACGATTTATTTTTCTGTGGTTTTATGGCGCACAGTATAGCAAAGCAAATAAGTAGAGTGGGCACATTTTCCTTATCTAAACGTCGGATGAACCACTCTCGTACAGGAAAGGCAATATGGTGGATCATTTATAAAGTCGATAGCCGAATGCAGGCGTCTGACAAATGAAGTTAAATAGCAACAAGCCGTGGGCATGGGGGTGGGTGGGCGGTTCCATTTCGATCCTGTCAGGGCCCCTCCCTTTTCCTACGAATTCGCATGTCTTGTAGCAGTTCGCGTCTCCTCGCTTTCCGTCGTTGTCACGCTGCCCTCCTGTCCGCCTCACACTCCTTGTCGATGCGCTGATGGGATGCGCGAGTGCTCGAAGCCAATCAACGCTGCCCCCACTCTGATTGGCTGGCGAGATTTAGACAACGAAGGGCGCACACACGCGCTGACAACACCTCGAAGGCGGGCACAGATAACAACTTGTCTGGAGAGCACGCTTGCGGCGACTGCCCACACAGCCTTTGTGTACACGCTTTCCAAGCAGTAAAGGTTCTCCCACTCATTCCGTCTTCCCAGACTTTTGATTGGGAATCTTTATCTTGTCGACCACACGACTTTCGACAGTCTCTACGACAGATACCGGAGAAGGGATGACTAGAAACTACTCCACCGTTTATTCCAAGATCTCCCTGATATACTGCTTCAAGCATCCCAACCGGAGACCAACAGACAAGGCGTTAATCACATGATTGACTCAAAACCCGCTTTTATCTTCCTACATAAGGGCCGCATCATGGTTGTAAAGGGATGTTAGCGCTCTCTGAAGGCAGTGT